CATACAGTGTTCATGTTTTGTTTTTGTTTTTTCATCCAGACGGCTTCCAACGCTTCCAAGGGTTTTTTTCCAACGCATTTTCGACTTTTGGAGCTTAGAAATTTACTTATTTTTAATAGAGAATTTCTTAAATTAATCTCAGATTTTTTTTTTGGCAGAAATGTATTCCTCCTTTTTTTTCTATCTACAATGGCATTAATCGTAGATAATGCGATTAAAGTGTTTACGAGCCGTTTACTTTCTCCTAACTGCCTAAGTTCTTGTTGACATGGTAACCGGAAAAAAAAAAGAATAAGTCAAAGATAGCTTGCTGCTAAGAGCTTTGTCATATTTTTACAAATACAATATAACAAGCACATTTTTAACACAGATCTGACTACATTTCAAGACCCAAACTTTTTACCGATTCCTAGCATGAATTTAGTTTAATAACTTGTTTATTGATGTAACTTAAGATTGCTGTGACACACAGTTACAGACATACTTAAAAAAAGATGCAATAAATGGTTATTTTCACATTTATTGACATCACGTCTCAAAATATTGTGATAAAATTTTAAGTCCATATTGCCCACACCTACTTGAAATAAAGTCTTCTTGGGGAGAATTTATGAAACATTTGGATTCTAGAAATGGTCAGATAAACACAAGTTTTTAGAGCTGTGGGTTTTTTTTAAGTCTGTTAATCTCTTCGGTCTAAACACAACTTCAGTCTAAACAAGCAACTTTTGTTTCCAGGCCTTCTGAAGATAGTGACCCTGGACGACTCTGGCCTGCCAGCCCAGTTCGACTCAGCGGACCTGAATCCACTCGATTCTGAGAACGTCAGCGATGCTTCCTGCCCGTCGTCGCCACGCTCCTCTTCTGACTCCTACCACCTGGCGGCCTCTACGTGCACCGACGACGACGACGACTGGATGGAGAGTCAGTCTCTCAGGTCAGAGGGCAAAAGGAAAAAGAAGAGAGGTCGGCCTTTCAGATCCGTCGAGAAAATGGAAGGAAGTCCACCTCTCGGCTCTGCTGGGAAGAAGAAACGAGGACGACCTCTTGGATCTTTGGGCAAAAAGAAGAGAGAACTTCTTGGTCTTGAACCTTTAGTCATTGTGAAAAAGCGAAAGCGCACTCCTCCTACAGAGCGTTTCAGCTGCCATGTCTGCGAACGCCTCTGTCCGGGGAAAGGCTTCCTGCTGCAGCACGCTCTGCGGGTCTGCGGCAGCAATCCGGACCGGCGCTGCGGCTTCTGCGGTGAGCTTTCAGACTCTGCTGATGGGCTGATGGCTCACCTGCAGGCTCACCAGCAGAACACCAAAAAGTGCTCCGTTTGCGATAAGACATTCACCTCCATCAGGGCGCAGGAGCTGCACTTCCGCATCCACACTGGGGAGAAGCCACATGAGTGCCCCGAATGCGGCAGAATGTTCCGGCAGAAAAGCAACCTGATGTCTCACATGCTGGTTCACGCGGCGGAGAAACCGTTCAAATGTAAAGAGTGCCCTCGCGCCTTCTGCCACATGACGTCGCTGGAACGCCACATGGAAGAGCACAACAACGCGCTCATCCTCTCCTGTAGCATCTGCAGTCAGGAGTTCAGCAAGCGGAAGGACCTGCGGAAACACATGGCGACCAATCACGAGGACAGCGTCCCTAAAGCGAATAAAAGCCGCACATCTGTGTTGACCAACTGCAAGGTGTGTGGGGAAGCTTTCGACCGGAAGATCCTGCTGGTCAGGCATGCTGGGACTCACGCGCAGGAGCCCAACTGCTGCTGTGGCGTTTGTGGGAATCTGTGCGACTCCATCGACAGCCTCAACGCTCACCTGCGCTTCCACCGGGTCGCCGCCAGGACCTGCGAAACCTGCGGGAAATCCTTCCCTGGCCGATCGGCACTGCTGATGCACCTGAGGATTCACACCGGGGAGAAACCCTTCAGCTGCAGCTTCTGCGACAAGGCCTTCAACCAGATCGGCAACCTGAAGATGCACCTGAAGATCCACACGGGCGAGCGCGCTTTCTCCTGCAGCATCTGCGGGAAGGGCTTCACCCAGAAGAACAGCCTGGACACGCACATCCGCTTCCACAACAAGGAGAGGCGCTTCCTGTGCCAGGTGTGCGGGAAGGGCTTCATGCAGGACGTGGACCTGAAGAGGCACATCCTGGTCCACACCGGGGAGAAGCCGTACGAGTGCAGGGTCTGTGGGAAGAGCTTCCAGGCCAGGCGCTCGCTCAACGGTCACCTCAAGGTTCATGAAGCCGGTGGGATGGCGGGCGTCACCGAAGACCAGAGGATGGACAGCTTCTTCTCCGGACCCTTCCAGTTGTAGATCAGAAACTAAGCCCAGGGCTGAGCGATGCGGCTTAAAAATGAAATCTCTGATATGATCATATCCAATCTGATTTCAAATTTTAATAAACTTTTTTTTTTATCTGTTTTGCTCTAAAAACCAAATTACAAATGACAGAAAACATTTTCAAAAAGTGGCCTTTTCTTTTCTTACAGATTATCCCTTCTGTAAGTTTTACGAAGGGGAATTAGGGCCAGGCTGTGAGAATTTTAGCTCAGTTACAAGAAAGTGAAGTTTTACCAGACAAAACATCTCAATATTAAGAGAAAAAAAAGTCGTTTTAATAAGAAAAAAGCTTTGATAAAGTTATCAAAATCTGTTGTGACCAGTTCAGTCCATGTGGTTCTTTTTTGTAATGGACTGAGTTGTTGGCTCATCATTTCAAAGTCCTGCAACTGATTTTAAAAAAAAGTGGAATTACTATTAAATATTATCTGTAAAACCTATTCTAAAGTATAATTTTACTAGATGCTCAACATTCCTCATTTAAATTTTTTTGTTATTTTTCATGTTTGAGTTCTCATAAAATTACGACTTTATTCTCGTGATTCAAAAACCAATCTTAACCTAACACTCTGTCGTAGAGTTGACCTGAATTCAAAGTCCAAATAAATAAAACAAGATGGCCGCCCTGGGCATGCTGACATCACTCTGATCTATGGAAACTCCTGGAGTGGATTGATGGAAAAAAATCCAGATTTTCCAAAAGACTTTATCTTTCAAACTCAAATAATTAAATCAGCATCCAACTTTCTGTCTTCCATGCTTCTTCTGAAAACAGACTTCTGGATTTTTTGTGGTTTCATCTCTTGATCCGGACATAAACAGTAATTTCTTTTTTTTACTACAAGCTTATAAAAGCAGATTCTTGTAGATTCTTAAAAACAGTTTGCAGTCTTTTTGCCTCTGCACACAACGAAGAGCTGCAGCAAAAATTAAAATCCTACACTAAACACTAAGGAGTTTTTTCAACTCAGTAAAGAAATTGAGCTGCTAAATAATAATCAATAATCTGTCGAATCAGATTTTTAAGTGTAAACATGGAATAAATTGATGATCAGACCCAGAAGTGGAAAAATAATTCAAAAAGCAAAGTAACAGTCCCCATTTCACTGTCAGTTTAATAATTTACATAATTAATTTGAGCTTAGCGTTTGCATCTCAGCGTTCCTGTAACTGTTACTTTACTTTCACCGTAACGATAAACTGACTCAAACAAGGTCAAGAGAATAAAGAAATGGAGGATGCAGAAATTAGAAAAGTTAAACATTTTCTAAAGATTTTATCTTTGCTAATAGTGAAAATATTTTATTGGAAAGTCAAAATAAACTGATAAGCATTGATTTACATACATTTATTCTGCCAAATTATAAGCTATACGGAACTACAAATTGGTGGAGGATTAAATAAACCCAGAGAAGATATGAAGATATCTGTTGAAACTAGAGATAATAAATGAGGTTCATACAGTCAAAATATCTCAATGTAGTTTGACTATATGATGGAAATATAGTTGTTGGATGGAAAACTAAACCAGGGTCAGTTCTGAATCTGCAGGATCTGGTGTGAAAGTAAAACTGTTCTCTGGTTTGTTTAGTTTCTTTACTTTAATGTAAAACCAGTTTGGAGCATCAAGAGCTTCAAGTAGAAGCTGCAAGCATGAGACTGATTTTATTAATCTTCTGTTTGACATTTTGTCCCACAGTTGATTCATTTTTTTAAAATTTCAGACAAGATGTAAATATTTCTGTTTCATTTAGTCAAATGTTATGGTCTGGTGATTTTGTTCATCTCTCCTAATTATAATCGCCTTAAGTTTTAGGCTGAGATTGGATAAATTGGACCTCTGGTGCTAATTATTATTACCTACACTGTAAAAACTAAATCTCACCAATTATTTTTTGGTCTGATTTCTAGAAAATATCTTAGTACATTTGAAATAAGACAAAACTAACTTACAAATAATTTTTCAGCAAAATAAAGGAACATGTTTTAAGTAAATAATTCCTTTATTTCATGAAAAAGTAGTTATTTCACTTAAAACAAGACATTTTCCATGTTAGAAGTGAGATAGTCTGCCAGTGTAATTTGTACATTGTCATTAATATTAAGTAGCTATCAACTTAAGGTCTTATCTTGCTGAAAAGTTGCTTATAAATTTGTTTTGTCATATTTCATGTGTATTAAAACATTTTCACTAGAAATTAGACCAAAATACTTGGTAAGATTTTGTGTTTTTACAGTGTAGAAGCTGAAACAAATTAAAAACTGACTAGATATTAATTTCTACTTAAATAATTCATTTTTCTTTTCTAGGTAATCAAGATACTGAGCATTGATCTTAATCTGTGATGCAGCTTTTGCTTCTTGTTTCTCCATCTTTTACTCTGTAGATGATATTATGAAGGTCTTTTATAAGAAAAGCAGTTGAATGTGTTTGTTTTTCATTGCTTGGCATGCGGTCTCTTTTTTTTTTTTTTAAAGACTCGATGCTGAAGGATTCTTCATGAATTCAGCAGAATGTTCCTCTGAACCTGGTTTAACCAAAAACTGACGTTTAAAGCCGTTACAGGACGTGTAATATGTTGATTATATGTTAATGTTTTTTATATGTTGTTGGACATTAAAAGCTACTCTGGGCCCATTTTGAGCCTCATCACCCTGACCGGTGATCAGACAGTTGGAAACTCAAAAATCCTGTCTTGTTTTCAACCAGTGAATGCAACTACATGCTACCAGGTTGTGGTAGAAACACTCTTCAGTGTGGACTGTGTTACTGAGGGAGGAAAACTGTTTGGTATGGATGTTTTCCCTTAATAAACGTTCACCAATCATTTGAAAACTGCTTATCGTGTTCTTATATTTATTATTAATTTTTGTCTGAAATTAAAGTTTATTTTTTATTTAACCTTGAACCGGGTTTAGAACAAATTCTCATTCTTGACAACTACCTATTCAGAAAACATTAAAACATCATACAACAGAATACTGTAGACCAGAAAACAGAAGAATATCATAAAACTAAGAGAAAAAAATACAATCATATTTTAAGTGATTTTGAGAATCCATTGTAAAGCATTATATAAGTCTGATGTCATTTCATATTGATACTGACTAAATGTACTATAATACGTCAAAAAATCAGTGGAAAGCAAAGTATATATTTTTATATTTAACTTTTTGTTTCATATAAATGAACCTGGACCACAGAAAGAATTGGACATGTTCAGCTCCTCCGGTCCTGCAGGGGGCGCTACGTCTCTCTGCTTCCTCTCAATGACCCGGACAGATCAACACGAGCTGGACGGTTTTCCTTCCTGGAGCCCGGTGGACGGAGCTCTGCATCGGGATGTCTCTGTTTGTGTCCCCCCAGAGCTGCGGGCTCCGGCCCCTGACCGACTCGGTGTCGGAGCTGCTCTCCAAAGTCGGTGAGGAGATCCTGGCTACGCTGGAGAAGCGCGCCGGGGAAGCCCGGTCGGTCAGAGGCTTGGGTCGTATGGTGCTGCTCCTGCGGCCGCTTCTCACGGACGGGATGGCTTCAGCTGCGGAGATGATTGTTCGGCTTCTGGAGCGGGAGGTGGAAGAGTACCGGCGGCAGCTGGAGCGGCAGAACCGGCTGCTGGAGGTCGCACTGAGTCCGGTGGTTCTGCTGAAGCGAACAGGTGAGAACCGCTAGCTTGATGCTACAGCCAGGGCGACTGTTGCTAGGCAACCAGAGACCAATCAGAATCAAGCTGTTCATCATTTACTAACCGAAATACAAAAAACGTCATTCAAATTGAGCAGCGTCATTAATGTAGAAATTATGGGTATATTTCTAATTATTATAAATATCTATTTTATTATAATGACAAATACTTAAAAAAAAATTTAATCCCCTGAAACAGACATTTTCTTTTAATTCCGGACTATTCACATAAAGCTTTTATTCAACCCATTTAATAAATAAATATTTTGTCAGAATTTAGTTAATCTTACTCCTCTTTGACCACATAAAAATCAACACTTGGTTCTCAAAACAGATGTTGATGCAGTTTTGTTTAATTTGTAGATTAATTTAAATTTTTTCAGTATCTAGATGTTTTTCACCCTGGATAAATCACCATGGTAACAGATCTCAAACCATCAACCAGTTTAGAGTTTAAAATGGCTGCATAAAGGTCCCCCAGTGTACCGCTTTACCCCTTTGTTTAACAGTTAGATATGAAAGTTAAAAAAGTGTTTTCACTACTGCACTGATCTATTTAATGCTAATTAGTTATATTGACCAGTCTTTGAAAACAACATTTAATTAAATGGAATGGAAAATGTTTGGTCTTAATCTTACAGTGAGATGAACGGGTTATTTGTCTTTATATTCATATATCTGATTTCATATGTTTAGTTTTCTTCTCTTCATTCATTTTTTTCTGGGAAATCTGTTGTTTCAACAAGGGTAAAAATATTCCCAGATCTGCTGATACCATCAGTACGTTATTTGATTCTTATCAGCAGAGTGATTTGACTATCATAAGAACATCAGAGCTTAAGTTTTACTGTAAAGTAAATAAATTGGAGCTTTATATTACAACTAAATGAACTTATTTGCCACACTGATGACTCTCTGCAGCATTGCCTTCTGGCCCAGATTGTGGCATAAATGTTTTTTTATTACTGATGGCTGACTGATACTGATTTCCTGTTTTCTTCGAGGTCTGAGCCCCAGAGTCTCATTATGTTTCCAAGAACTACGACCCATATAGGCTCATATGAGTAGACTGTATCTTAATTCAGCATTTAAATGAAACTAACATTAAACGCACAACAAAAATGAGCTGCAGTTTCTGAACTTGAGGTAGTTCTGAAACGAACAGAAAACGGTTCCCTGACCTAATTTAGGTTTCTCTAAACAAAGTGGGTCAAACCATGAGCTGTTTGACGAGATTAAAGACAGTTTAAGAGGGAATACTTCAGTTTTTCTGCATTTAGTGAACAAAATAAGATTTTTCAGTATATGGCGTTTTACTCAAGTGGAAATTGGTCGACTTTGATCATTTTTGCCTTAAAATTTATCTTAAGTTATATTTCCTTATCGCTTTCATGAATGTCTGTCTTCTAATGCCATTAATAAATACAACATTTTTACTATCTGTTTTTTATGTAAACAGTAAAAAACTGGGTCTTGTGAAAGTATGTGCACCCCTTCAGCCATTTTTGTTTTGTTACTTCTTTGAGAATAACAAATTTTACTGGATGTTAAATTGTCCCAGAAGGTATTGAGATAAGTGATAATATTGTTGATTTGAGACCATTTTCAGGTAATATAACAGTATTATAATACAACATTTTTCAAAGATCAATAAACCTTACATTCTAATGAACATTTAAAACATTTTAAATATCCAAAATAAATAAACAAAACAACAAAAATAACAAATAAAATGAATTATTTAGTCTCTGTAAACAAAACAAAAAGTTGAGACGAAAGCACCAAACTGAAGACTTCAGTTTTTGGTGATGAAAGAGAGAAGAGAAAATTGATTTATTGCTTGCTACAGGCTCAATTTCTACTATTAAGGACATTATTCTGTTTTTATTTGTTTTTTATGTGAAAAACTGACAAAAGTTAAAATATTTGTATGAATTAAAGATGTTTTCTTCTTCGCCAGTCTCCATCGGCTCCTCCGCCAAAGAGACGACCACAGATGATGAAAACCTCCCGCTGCATTTGGACGCAGTAACTGCTGCCTCCTCAGACATTTCTGCTGCTGAAAGTGACAAAGAATGGATTGAAAACTCCTCAGATGAGAAAGAGACAAACACAGCAGATAAAAGAGATGAACCTGTAAGTAATAAATGTTTAATCTGTGGGAAAACTTTCCGTCACAAAGGAAATCTCATCAGACATGCGGAAACGCATGCAGACTTTCCTGAAAATCCCTGCGGAGTCTGTGGAAAACACCTGGAGGGTTCAGGAGATTTATCCGACCACCTCACCTCCCACAGGAAAACTGTTTGCATGAGCAGGTTCTGTGAGATCTGTGGGAAGAGATTTCAGAACATGGAAACTCACGTACGGAGCCACACTGGGGTAAAACCATACAGCTGTGACTTCTGCAGCAAGAGCTTCCCACGGGCCAGCGCACTGAAGAGGCACAAGAAGATCCACAACAGAGAGAAACTGAGCGCCTGTCAGATCTGTGGAAAGACATTTGCTGAGAACCAGATGCTTTTAGAACATCTGAAGACACATGAAGATCACCGCAAAGGGGAGGATGATACTTCAGAGATGGCTAACCCGGAAGTAAATGTAGAACCACCCCCTGATGATTCACTCTGCTGCAGAGTTTGTGGAGATTCCTTTCACAGTCGAGGCTTTTTAAGAAAACACGCAGCGACACACAGCAGCGACTCCAGATGTGTGTGTGGAGTGTGTGGGGAGCAGCTGGATTCATCAGACGTTCTGCAGACTCACTTGGAGTCTCACAGGGAGGGTGGTGGGACATGCAGTGTCTGCGGGAAGAGTTTCCAGAACATGGAGACGCACATGCGAATCCACACAGGGCTGAAGCCATACCGATGCCCCGTCTGTGGCAAACGCTTCCCCCGACCTGGAGCTCTGAGGCGACACAGGAAGACCCACAGCGCCAAGCGTCCACTAGGCAGAGAACAGGAAGTCCAGAATACAAAAAGTCAAAATGCAGAGACGTCAGTGAGTCTGTCATACAGCTGCAAAGTCTGTGGGGAGAGTTTTCAGAGCAAAGGCAATCTAAGAAAACATGCCAAGCGCCATGCTTCACAGTCTGTCTGTGGGGTGTGCGGTGAGGATCTGTTGCCGTCTGAGACGCTGGCCGATCACTTACAGGGCCACAAAGAGAAAGGGAAGATCTGCCACATCTGTGGCAAAACCTTTCAACACATTGAGATCCATATGCGGACCCACACAGGCATCAAACCATACTCCTGCAGCATCTGCGGGAAGTGCTTTCCGCGACCCGGTGCTCTGAGGAGACACAAGAAGAGCCACAGTGGGGAGAGGCCGTACATCTGCGAGTTTTGTGGGAAGACGTACACCGAGCGCACCTCTCTGACGATGCACATCAGGAGCCACAACACCAACCAAACTGTCAGTCGCGTCTCCTGCGATACCTGCGGGAAGAGTCTCGCCTCTGCCCAAATCCTGGAAGTTCACCGGAGGATCCACACAGGCGAAAAGCCATTCCCCTGCCACATCTGTGGGAAAGCCTTCAGACAGATGGGAGGGCTTAACGTCCACATGCTAACGCACACGGGAGAGAAACCATTCAGGTGTACTCTCTGTGGCAAAAGCTTCTCCACCAAAGGATACCTGGAAACCCACATCCGCTTCCACAGGAAGGAGCTGGCCTTCGGGTGCCACCTGTGCTGTAAGGCCTTTGTCACCAAAACTGACCTGAAGAAGCATCTGTTGATCCACACTGGAGAGAAACCCTACAGCTGCCTGGTATGCGGGAAAAGTTACCAGGAGAGACGCTCTCGAGACGTTCACATGAAGGTGCACCAGGTGGTCCACAACAGCAGGGAGTCAACCAGAGGGCAGGAGGAACTCCAGACAGACTTCATCCAGCTTTAGAGAGTCAGATTAGTTCAAACTCATAACTTACAAATAATAATAAAACCTTATTACTAGAGGTGTGCCGATCGATTGGTCACCGATCATAATCGGGCCGATTTTCGTGA